TTTGAAATGTAGTGTACATCTATGTATTACTCGTGATCGTAATTATTTCAAGGATTACCATATAAAATAAACCACAATGTTGTAGCTATTTATTTCCTCTCCTTCTCGTAGAGTCACCATGTTCGTTGAAACAAACATGATTTTTTTTAGAAAAATCAAGGCCGTACGGACTTCAGAAAATTCTCAAAAATCATATAAAAAATCACTTCAACCCCCAATTTCACGAAAAATTTTCAACTGGAAAAATGAAAAGTCGTGACTGAAAGAGTTAAACGTAAAATACCCAGATAGCACACATTGTTCTGAGAATATTCAGAAAATCTCCTGAGGGAATATTCCATAGATATTTCCTGAGATTATTTTTCATAATAATTCAGGAATAGTTTTTTAAAAAAATTTGTGAATATTCTCAATAGTATATTCGGAAAATATATTTTTAAAATGATTATGAATAATTCGATTGGATAACCTCATAATATATTTTGAAGAATATTCTGGCAATATTATTCATGGAATATTTATTTAGAAAAAAATTTGCTGAATATTGATAATTGACAAGATAAACAAGTGGTGTTCCTGAAAGACATGATTGTGTAAATATTCCAAACATCCAACAAGATCACAGCCGGCTCTAAAGCCCGGCGTGGCCAGATAAAGTAAGGACGTCTATGTACGGACGTGGAAATGTTTCAAAGAAAAAAGGAAGAATTGAAGAAGAATAATCTGATTTGCAGGTTAGTGGTCATTTGTTCCTTGTTTTCGCTCGCTTTCGATTCGTCGATACCTGTGTTTTTTTCAGTCCATTCAGTTTGTTTCTTGTTTCCAGTTCTTTGGATCAAGGTATTAGGTGAGTAGAACATTATTGTCTTGGATGAGTTCGCATTATATTGATGTTCTTATATTCCAATTTTTATTTTGTTTATACATAGATTGGAAGGCTTTTATACCCACGCTGACCTATCACCATTTTTGTTCAGATCCACCTGCCTGCCGTGAAAGATAAGTATTTATTCACTCTGATATCTAATGTTCCTGGATGAAGAAAAAGAGTGTTGGAGAATGAGATTTCTCAGTTTATAATGTTCTTAATCCTTATACCAATGTTGAGTTGTGTTGACCCTCTGGAAGAGTTTTATTTTATTATATTGCATAGTTACTCATTCATGTAGGTACTCAAGTTAATAATGGATTTATTTATTTGAAAGTTTTTCCGTTTTTATTTTTCGTTATAAAGTTTTTAAAATGAATTTTGTTTTTGAGATATTTTATTACCCTCTCAAGGTTTACAAACATTGAACATGAATAGAATATGCTGAGAATATTTTCAATAAAAAAAGGGAAATCTTGGGTTACCTTGAGCATGTTCTGTTAGTTTGATCTCAGATTATTCCGTGCATATTCTCAAGATACTCAATAATATTCTTATCATATTTGTATAAAGCATTTATACTAGATTTGTTCCAGGAATATAGTCTAGGCATATATTCTGGTTAATTTTTTGATAGAACCTATATACATTTGAAGGATATTCTTGTCACTATTCCGAGAATATTCTTAGACTCTTTAAAAGTGTCTCCTTTCTATTCAAACTCAGAATATTCTTGTAATAATTATATTTTCATGTGGATATTCATAGAATAATTGCGTATTCTCGAGAAATATTCCAAGGATCACCTATGACTATTTTTGTGCTATCTGGGAGGAACCCAGGCAAACAGATGACGTTCCAGTGACGTCTTTTTTACGTCGCATGATGTGATAATGGCGGGAATAAGTCACATCCCGTTTACGTCATATTACTCACATCGTATTGACGTCATTCACTCACAAAACTGTGACGTCCGACTGACGTCATAATGACGTCGAAAGGACGATTGAATTTGGCGATGATACACGTAAAAAAGATGTGATGAACACTATTGGCCTCTGATATAATATTGATTATGCATTGTTGAGTCTGCTTGGTGGGTCCCTCCTGTGTCATGTTCATTCAATCGCCTATTCAGCAGCGCTATCCTTCGATACGCATCTCCATCAGAATGCAATCGTTACTCGTATTTGTATCAACAATTATGTAGTTTGTGTCGGCGAGATGTAAGCAAACAAAGAATAGTTTGTAAGCAAACAAAGAATAGTTTGATAGCAATGGAAATGTTGTTGGCGAATTTGGCTTCACTTTGTTGAATAATGTATATTGATGCATTCTTTGGCACTCAACAAAAATCTGAATAGCAGATTATTGAAAATTTTCCTGAATGAAGAAGCTCACCAAATTGGTACGTCACACCGACGTGATTTTTAGACGTCATAGATACGTCACTGCAACGTCATAAGAGTAACCGTTTCAATATAGGTATATCTAAAAAATCATTTGTATATATACATAGCTTGTTGGTTTCCGAAATATACAGTGTGTCAAAGTTTTTTAGAAAAAAGTGTTCCCTACTTTTCGGGTATATTAATAATTCCAATAAAACTTGCATGTTGATTTTCTCTCATGAGTTATACTTCTGTTTCACATGATATTATATAAGTATCCATGGTTTAGAGAAGGTCTTGGAAAAATAGATGTCGACAGAACGTCCCTGCAACGTCATAAAACTGACGTCTGCTTTCACCCATCTAAGTGACGTTCACTCGACGTCTAAACGATGACGTGATTATCACGTCATAGCAAGTACGTCATAGTGACGTCATAATTTGGTGTGTGACGTCTCTGACGAAAAATCACCAATTAGGGACGTCACAGGGACGTGATTATTCGTCATCTGGTTGCCTGGGGATATAGGGATAATATCTGTTAGCATTATTTAGGAAAACATTTTTGCCTTTGGAACTATGCGTATACAGAAGTTTCACAAGGGTGACAAAATGAAGATGATTAATCAGTCATCTTGCTCAGAAGATTTGACAACCGTATTATCCTGGATTATCGAGAGGAAGGAGGTCCTCTGAAATGCACTTTTGTCAAATTTCATCCTTTTTGTTTTCCCCATTTTTGAACAGTGCACAAAAATGTGTTCTTTATGTAAGCTTTGAACTCGTCTCACGAACAAATGGTACATTTTGTTATACAGGGTGGGGCATTAGTGCGTCGGAGCTCGATTGCTCGAGTTCTATAATAGCTAGAAACTTGATTAAAAAACGAATGTGAATGAGATTACAAGGTCTATAACTAGAAATTATTACCGCATATACAGGGCACCGGAAAAAATCTAGAGGGTCAGGATCACTTTTTTTAAATGGTATGCCCTGTATGTTAGCACATTTATTGAAGCATCTCTGTGACCTCTAACAACTCCTATGATATTGTTGACTATATCTGGATCAAGTTATTGATTTTTTTGTCGAAATAATGTCATCTGCAGATGCATACCTAAAAAATCACTGTAGTCACAATTATGAAATTCAAGAGAAAATAATCATACTATCATTCGATGGAAAGATGCGTGATATTCCTGTGGAATTTTCATCCCCTCAAATTATACAAGGTGGCTAAAAATGATTTTTCAATTCAGAACTTCTGGAAGTTATTTTTCTCGAGTTTTTCAAATGGAACACCCCATATATTTTTAGGCCATTTGGTGTAAAATCGAAACACGAATATCTTTCATCTACATCCATATTGATATTCGTGGCCATTTTTGAATTATTGAATTTCAAAAATTATTGATTGGCCATTTTCATCGATACACACTCTCATCCGTTAATAAAACATCAAAAGTCCAATTGAGAATTTGTTAAATTTGTTCTCTTATTGAAAGAATTGAAACCAGAATCAAAGCAAACACCTGATAAAGTTCATGTGCTAGTAATTTACAAAGTAAAAAAGAAAAAAAAACTTTTTCAAATATCCCATAAATTCATAGCACATCGAAAACAAAACCAGGATAATAATTCACAATTATGCAAAATGGGAATGTTGTTTTTTTTTCACTTTGTGAATAACTAGCATTTGAACTATTTCTGGTTGGCTTTGATTCTGTAATCAATTCTTTCAATAAAAGAACGAATTTAATGAATTATTGATTGGACTTTTGATGTTTCAATAACTGATGAGAATGTGTATATGGATAAAAATGGCCAACCTATAATTCTCGAAGTTCAATAATTCAAAAACGGTAACCAATATCAATATGGACTTTGACATTAAATATGTTCGTGTTTCGATTTTACACCAAATGACCTAAAAATATATAGGGTGTTCCATTTGAAAAACTCGAGCAAAATCAATTTCAAAAGTTCCGAACTGATAATTAATTTTTACCCACCCTGTATAACTTGAGGGCATGGAAATTGTACCGAAATATCACACATCTATCCTTCAAAAGATATTATGATTATCCTCTCTTAAATTCCATAATTGTGACTTCAGTGATTTTTTCAATATTATAGGACTGGATGGAGGTCACAGGGATGCTTAAAACATGTGCTAATCGGATAGGGCATTCCATTTAAAAAAAGTGATCCCGATCCTCCAGCTTCTTTCCGGTGCCCCCTGTATATGCGGCAATAATTTCTAGTTATGGACCTTGTTGTCTCATTCACATTCGTTTTAGGATCAAGTTTCTAGCTATCATAGAACTCGAGCAATCAAGCTCCGACGGACTGATGCCCCACCCTGTATAAATAAATTTGGTCTAATCAACATATTTTGACTCGTATTACACGTGATATAGCACTCTGTCCCAGCAATTTTGGGACACCTTGTATATTCAGTTTGTCTGATAAATTTTAGATGCATACCAAGGTTCAGAATGATCTGTTTTCCGTTCTCCACTATGAATATAGGTATAATATGATTTAAACAAAAAATGCGTCGTAGTGGGTTGTTGTGAAATTTTTTTCAGGAGTTTGCTTCACCATACTGATGGAATTTAGGTCATTTTGAATTCCCTGTACAATTTAGTTGTAAAATGAGCAGTTTTCGAGATATTCAACACAAAATATGAGTTTGCCTAATCGTTTCCGATCAACATTTCTGTTGGACCCATTTTTACCATCATTTTGCGAATCAGCTGATTCTTGAAGCATCCAAACGCTGGAGCCAGCACCAATGATTTAGGAACTTTCGAGGATTGGTATAAGAATTTCAATTTATGCTGAAAAAATATCATTTCAAATTAGGTATAGGTACAGGCTGTTTATCGAATCGTTACATAGGAGTGAAAGGATGCCACGGAGAGATGCGGAGAAACATGTTCACCGTTAGACAGTTGGGTGCATATAATGAATTTCAGTTTTGATATTCCTAGCGAAGAGACTACGAATGCGTTGAAAAGCCACCACAATTATTTTACATAATTCCGGAACTGGAACTGATACATTCCTACTTTGTATCTCAGAATTCCAAGTCACCTCGGAATAATTCGACTTTTTTATGTTCTGGTTCCCACGAAAAGGGATATCCTGTATTGTATTGAGAACCAACGGAAATAAGGTAGGACTTGTGGTGTTCTTCTTAAATTTCTGAAGGTTATATGCCTCGGGAAACACCTCCCTTGGCAATGTGTTCCAGAGCCTCGCTGATCGTTGGATGAACGAGTCTTTGGAAAGAAATGTTCTTCAGGTCTCCAAAGTGACCACAAAGGGGTGCGAAGCCTCAACTCGACGGGTTAATCTCGCGGGGACTGTCAAGGGAAGAACAATAATTGTTGATATTTCAGAAGAGCATCGTCCATGAAAATATCTATGAAATAGAGCCAGATCGACAACTTTTCTACGGTGTTCCAGAGAACTGAGTGACTTTGTGAGCGAGGCATCACCCACGAGAGGAGTTGCCCTTTTTTGGACAGAATCCAACAGTTTCAGGGTATGTTTGGGTGCTGAACTCCAAATATGGGAGCAGTATTCCAGGACAGGTCGTATCTGTGCCTTATAGATCATAAACAGCTGACTGGAAGTGAAATAGCTCCTGGCCCGAAACAGAAACCAATTTTGGGATGCACTTTCAGCAATTGATCTCACGTGATTTTCCCAAGAAAGGTTATTGCTGATAAAAATACCAAACATCGAGATGGATGTCTCCTCCAAAGGTTTGGATGCTCCTGAAAAGCTTATGTTGGGCACAGTGATATCGGCATTCCTAGAAATGAGGCGTGCTTGTGTTTTTGTTTGCATTGAAATCTACCAAGTTATTGGAGCCCTATTCGAGAATTGTTGCCGAGTCCATATTTATGTTGTCAAAATTTCTACCTCGTTCGTTTCTGATTTGCCTGGCTGGTATTGGAGCCCTGGAAGAGGAGGCGGTATGGAGGGTACTATCTTCCGCGAAGCTGTGTACTTTTGATATGAATTTGCTTCCAACAAATCGTTGATATGAAGTAAAAATAGTGTTGATGCTAGAATTGATCCTTGCGGAACACTAGCATTTATGATAAGAGAGTCAGATGAAACTCCGTCGACCCCTACATGGAGAGACCTGTTTGAGAGAAAACTGACTAGCAGAGAACATAGCTGGGGAGGCAAGCCATAAGATGGAAGCTTGGCGAGGAGTCCGTGGTGCCAGACTCGATCGAATGCCTTGGAGAGATCAAGTGCCACAGCTAACGTTTCACCATATGAGACGTAAGCGAGCAGGTCACCAGTTGATCTCTGATGACGAAAGCCATATTGCCCATCGTTGATAATACCAAAAGAAGGGCTTTCACAGTGATAACAGGTCAATATTTCAGTTTTACAGAACTATAATGATTGACATATATTGCTAGTGGTGAAAAAAATTCAATATACACCATGGTATAGTAATCTTGGTCCCTGTGTAACAATGATATTGTTTGCTATTGCTACCTTGGTGTATAAATGAATATTTCCTACCTTATTATCTGCAAACAGCATATACCCCAGTTGTTTATCAGCCACTGTTGTTACCCAATAAGTGAAACTCATAGGTATTGCGGATTGCTCTATTCGATCTCTGTTCTCTATTCCAAACTCCTCCTTTCTAAAGCAAAGAATAATAAATATAATATATAAGAGACACACTACACTGTTTTACCACTAACCAAACCGATTTCTCAAACGTCTCGACAAGTTGTTTCGCTAACTATGTTAGCATCTTCAGGAGAAGATTAAAACTAAATATCCTATTCTAGTATTCTGCTTATATACACTGAGAGAAAACTTGAGTTATTATAATTGGAAATCTGATAACCGTTATTATACGATATCTGCAATAAATAGGGGACAGATATGTTCATTTGCTATAGATGAAGTGAATTTTCAGGGGGCTTGTATATAGTTACGGCAGCATATTCAATTTGCAAACTTGTATAAACACCGCCGCTGAATAACTACCACTTGTTCTAGTTTCTATGATAACACAGTATCGAATATAGAGATCATTCCTAACTGAATGTTACAGTAACAAATCCACTCCACAGTGGTTATTCGACTATCATCATAAAACAGCGTGTTTTCATTACTGGCACAACCATCTCGAGGTAACGCAGTAATTCGTCTCATTTTATTATAGTTATCTGATATCTGAATGAAACCTGACTTTTTGACATGCTATTGTAATATAGCTCATTTTCAACAGTTATCCCAATATTTTTCTACTCTAGTATATTCATCAAACAGTGGTAATTAGGTTATCTAATCATCATTGTTCGATGATATGCATTATGGAATCGTGCTTTGAATTACTGCAATGGAAATAAATATCCTATCCACACTTACTGTTCATGATCCAAAGTTATTTTTTTCAAAAAACAAAAAATACGATAAGTCTCTGAATTGAAATATCTGGGGTTCTCTGGAAGTTTTTTTTGACATTACTCGTTGATTTTTTCGGAGAAATATCATCTATATGCATACTGACGAATTTATTAAGAAGTTGAATACTTATATTTACTCTTCCTTCGGAGTTATGATGAGAATTGTCAATAAAAGTTCCCTCACAGAAACCCAGATATTTTCATTCAGAATCTCATCGATCATTTTGTTTCTCGAAATGAACCAATTTTGGGCCGTGAAAATTGGGTATGGAGAATAGTTTTTTTATTGTAGTAATGCAATGCACGGTGTATTCCACAGCTCGGTTCACAGCCAGCAATAAAACAGAATTTTGCTACATCACACACATTCACCCACAAGACACGACTCTATCATTTTGCTACATCACACACATTCACCCACAAGACACGACTCTATCGATTCGGACGGAAGAAACCATTGAACAATTGAATAATTGAAGACAGCACCCATGACCGAGAACAGGAGTGAAAATGAACGCGATCTGTAGCTTTGTCAGCCCCAAAACTAATGAAAAATTAGAGCGAAATGAGCCGAATTAGGATTGTCGAATGATTGTCTAATAACCGTCATACATGTGAATTGCTATAGTTATTCGTCAACATACAATGCTAGAAACCCAAACAGCTATGATTATTGGGACGAACATTATCTGAATTCACCAATAAGCATAATTCACGAAACGAGCTATCCCAATGAAAAATCTCAATAGACTAGAATTTATAAAATTCTCATAATGGCATAACACACCTGCGTTATGATGGTAGCAAATGTCCATTCAAGGGTATTACAAATGGTTTAAGAAAGCGATTTTTATAATTACAGAATGGAGAGAATACTGTTGTAAAAGTGATAAAGTGACCAGGAATAGGAGATTTCTTTATAATGGTTATTACAATCAGAGCTGGTAGATATTTTTAATATCCAGTTTCTCTATATGGATTAGGTTCATTATCCTTGTTCATTACTCTATTACTATTCTTAAATATCTCTGAACATTCATATGCGTCTAATTTTCTAATATTATTAACTTGCTTAACTAATTTGAGGTTAGTAATATGTGTGTTATGATTGTGATTGCCATATTTCAAATGTGCCATGTGTTCTTTGAACCTTGTTATTGTGGGCCTGGTTTGGCCTATGTATGTTCGATCACAATCCTTACAACTTATTTCGTATATTCCCGGCTCTTCAAGTGTGTCCACTTTATCTCTCGGATTATTGCCTATTCCATATAATAGCCCTCTATATAGTTTAGTAATATAAAGATTAGGAATAACATGTGAATTCAACCATGACAAACATCAACTTGACGGTAAGTATATTTCACGGTTGGGTGAACATATACCTATAGTATATATAAGCAGCACACTCAGATAGGATAATAATATTTAGTTTTAATCTTCTCCTGAAGATGCGAACATAGTTAGCGAAACAACGTGTCAAGGAGTATACATTGATTCATAGGTTAAAAATTGATTTATATATCGAGGGAATTGAATGATATCTAACGGGATATTCAAAGGGATTTGGATAACATATCTTGGATGCAGATTCATAAGTTGACTCTTAATTACAACAAATCTTCACATATGTATATCTCCAAGTGATCCGTTAATATTTCGAATAATGCTATAAGTTTCAACAATAGATTCATCGAATATACAGACGTGACATTTTTGGGTCTTCATATTGATGGAAAATAATTATGGACTAAACATATACAGACCATTTGAGAAATAAAATGAATCCGATCATAGGCATTTTATTTAAAATCCGAAATAAAATTCCCATAAAATACTTGAAATGTATTTGCTTTTGCCAAATTTATTCAAATTTCCAATATTCAATTTCTGTTTGGGGGCGTACAAATATTTCACGTCACTAATGGAATTACAAAACAAATCAATTAAGTGCAAGTTTCATCTTGATTTTCTAGAACCAACGGTATAGGTATATATACAAACCAATACATTATCTGAACCTGATTTCGTTATATAAAAGTAAAATATGTTTTTTTTTCATTCTACCAGGCATAAATTGAGAATATAAAATTTGTAGAAGTCGATACAGTCCATAGTTATGGGACTAGACAATTGAATTACTTGATAGCAAATACATTCAATTCGAACAAACAATCTGTATTTCACAATAGAATAATTTCATGCAAGCAGGGTCAAAATCGATCTTAAAAAATACTTGCTGGACAATTTGAATGAAAAAGATGTGGCATGATTTGATTATTCAGAAATGGAATGTTATAACTTTCATTTGTTTTAATCTATGACTGAGTGGAATTCATTAGTTAACACTTTATTATAATTTTTTATATGTATTGATGACATTCATATGTATCCCTGTTATAAACAGAAATGTTTCTTGGGGTGATAGAGACAATACCAAAAATATATCTATATTTATATAAAGGGTGGGGCACCTCGCGACTGTAGATATTAAATCTTCGTAATATGGTCAAATTTATCGATATACCTATAAAAAAATTAACAAATCATCGATATTTTCGATACTATCGATAATAATGTCGATAACTGTTGATAGTTTAGATTTCAATATCATCTATGTCGATTCACGATAACTGAATATTATTTTGACTCATGCAATTCCCCAGGTATAGAATATCTTCTGTCGATGATAATATACTTGCTTTCATACAGGTCTTTCGTAAAGTACTGAATAAATTCATTTATAGGCATACTATCCAGCAAAATATCCATTTCTGAGGAATATGCCGAAATAGGTCAATTTTCATTTTCAATTCGCCACATTCATCATGGGAAATCAAATACCTATACAAGGGGATCCACGTTTGAGTTATGGAGTTCGCGACAATTTTTTAATCGAAACATCCAATATATTATTGTATCTTTATATTCCTCATGGAAGACCTAATTCATAGCTATATCACTCATAGGGTTTATAAACAGTGCGCCGGTTGAATTCAGTGATATCGTGAAATGGGGTTGCCATTGAAAAAATACCCTTGACGTTATTTCTCGAACACGAATTATTCCGTTATTTCATCGATAATATCAATAAATCAATAATATCAATACATCATGATTATCCATAATTGATATTTCAAATCTGTTACTACACGTCGCATGAGATGCCCTACTCAGTATATGTATATTAGGTATAGTCACTTCCAAAATGTATACGGATAATTGTTTGTTGTTCTTTCACTTACGAAGCACACTTATTATTGAATTCAAATTTGACAAACGGTTTTGAAAAATGAATTCAATAGAAAATAGAATGAGGGGGAAATGTTATTATTTTATACAAAGTAATGGTGAATTCATGCACGACTTAACTTAGTTCTAACTCAAGACCTATAGGTGTTCATACGCATGTGCAGAATCATGTATTTTGATCTGTTTTGTTGTAAATGAAGGAGTACTGCTGTACTGAACTGATGAGGTCACTGTCGTCAACCATAATGTTATAAACCATATAACAATATTTTAGATATTTTGAAAACTTAGTTGAAAGTTCGAGCAGAGTGTTCGAGGTTATGGACAATTTCTGTTGGCATCAATTCTTGAAAATGCGCAGTACGCGATTTGCACGAAGAAACATGAAATAAGTTGAAAGTTGGCCAACTCATGACCTTCTTAAGGAACACTTAAATCCTTAAGTTGCGTGCATGAACGTTATCATCAATTATTCGAATTTCAACTTCTCAAGATTAGGGTTAAGTTAAGTTAGGACTATAAGTTACGTCGTGAATTCACCATAAATGAGACTGAATGTATTGTCATCATCGCAGCGATATTTTTGTTATATTCTGACTATCTTTATTATTATTCCCAAGAAATATACATGTTTATAGCAGGGAAAATTATGAAAGAGCAACTAAAAAAAAAACACATTCAGGATCTTTTAGTTAGATTGACCCTTCAGAGAATCTCCTCACCTTTTTCGATTGAGATATTCGAAAATGTTCAATACAATAACAATGGCTAATGAAATTACATATGATGTCAAATGTCGAATTATAATCTTCGGACTTTCAACACAACACTCGACACCGCTCTACACAACATAAATAATGAGTAGGTATATCCTGTAGAGTACATTGTGGAAGAGACCGCGAAGATTACAATTTCATTAAAGTCTTTACTCAAGATTATCATTGTTATATTCAACCAGATGCCTATCCTTCGAAATTGTATATAGTTTGGAGTTTACGTTTCCTGGGATGAACATAAGGTCGTTGATGTCTTCATAGTGAGGCCTTATTTTTCCTTGAAACTCCCATGAGCTTGTTTCAAGGTTGTAACTGAAGATAACGACTGCCCGATTATCATCCTGAAAAAAGCATTAAATTCATGAAGTTGCGTTGTTTCTATACAGGTTAAGTCTCAGCAAACGCAAACACGGGAAAAATGGCGATTCAATGGTCCATTGTTTCAATTAATGGCGCACTATTGGTAGGTGATAAAAAATACTAATACTTATTCATTGCTGTTTTTATCATACGAAACGTAAGTTGCACTTTTATCGTAGAGGTACATACATTACGGTTTGTATAAATTTAGGTGAATGAAGATAACAATATTTTTCCACCACTAGCTATAAAACCTATTATTATTCACTCCTTTTCGAGGAGTAAAGTATGTTCATCAAACTTATCATTCCAAACAGAGAAGAATGTAGAAGCAATACAGTGGAGTTTCGCCCAGAAAGCTTAGTATTATAATCTCTGGTATTACACAGACGGATCCCGTCTGACTGACAAACAGTTGAAGTTGAACAGTTGAAGTTGAATTCGTATAATATGTGTTGCTATTCAATAATTCAGATGAATTATAATCAAAAATGCATCGTAAAAATTCCTATATAGTGAAATTCGTTAAGTAAACCGTTAAAGAGAAGAATATAGTTTTTCTTGGTGGTATACAAGCTGGCCTTAGGTAATTTCACATAGAAGTGTGGTAGGTTTCGACTCCAGAACATTACAAGATGAGCTATAACTTGCCTTGATATAATATTGCTATTAAGAGAAAGTTCGAATCTTGTAATTAATTTCACGCACTAACTTCGAAGTTTCTGGATATTAATTGATACATACAAATTTCTAAACTAGGAGAGTATTTATAGTCTACGAGCAATCATTCGTCGGCGAGGTGTAAGTTAACGTCCTCGCAGGGACAACATATTGAAAGTACCGACTGAGACATGTACCAATTGGGACATCCGGATATCCCTAAGGGGCATTCGAAGGATGTCCCCAAGGGACATTTTGAATGTTATTAGATCCTGGAAATATTAAGGGCGTCTGTGCAGAGATATTTGAAGGAATGTACCATCAGGGACATTTCATGGTTGTCTAGAAGGGACATTAGGCAGGGTGTTCCGTTAGGAAACGGAAATACTTCAACGTTGGATAGAGGTGACCAAGGTGGTTCTGAATATACCATATATGTTGGGTCTTACATGTTTCATTATCAAGATATAGGGTGTTTTATCAATTCTGCTCATTTCTTTGAAGATTCATTGCATACGAACCACCTGGGATATTTTTTTGATATTTGGTATACGTGTTTTCCCACTGCTACCCCAGCGACTTGTATATCCGTCAGAAAAAAAATCCAGGCCCGGATTAACAAAAATTCAACATATTAGTGAGTCCTCGAAATCACCCTGTATGTTTGAATTTACAAAATCCGCTTACATATCTGAAGAGAGCATAAAATGTTGAATGGATTTGTGTACTTTCCTCACCTCACCTCTATCCACCGTTAATGTATTTCCATTTCCCAACGGATCACCCTGTATAAGATCTGAAGTCATGCCAGAATATGTACTACTCGCGACATCCGATGGATATCCGTAAAGGAACGTTTAAAATCATATCCCATCAGGGACATGCCAAGGACGTCCTTGCATGGACATTCTACAATATGTACCACGCGTGACGTCTAAGGGATTCTATTTCTAGGACTTTCAAAATAATGTATCTGCTGGGACATTCCGTGGAGGTCCTTGCTCGGACATTGCATGAGATATACGGAATGGGACGTCCCAATAAGGACACTTATTTTTGGTCCGGGACATTCTGACTTGAATTGTACCACATAGGGACGTCCCTAGGACGTTGTGTGTTATTAGGGAATATCACAAGAGCTCCAATTATTACCGAAAACATTTTAGAGAACACGAATATTTCGTAGATTCTCCCGAGTCTAAGACCAACAATTTCAAAACTATAATGTATCCATGTCCAAAAACTTCAGAAAAAAATCGTTAATTTTACCTTCTTTACTTTCTACCTCCCATATCAGCGAGGCAAGTTGTCTCAAATCGTGATATCTCAAAGTCAGAAAACAACCATACTCCTTAACAATTACTTGAGAACCACCCTGAATAAATTGATGTGTTAATTATTGCTCAAAGATTTATCACCACCCAATTAATTCTCCGGAACTCTATCATCCTGTATAAAAGCTGAGATAACTCTTACGAAATAAGCAAACTGCATCGGTTTGTGTGAAAACTCAATCTTGACCACTTTATGCTTCGTAATTCTGAAAGGAGTCGACAACTTTGGGTCCATTAAGATCGGCTCCAATATCCAAATTTCGCCATTACTCCTACCACATACTAGATGGAACGCTGAAATGAGAAATGAAATAGGTATAATTTTTTGAGAAATCACGATTTTGTATAGAATAACCTATCTAACAATAATTATAATCATAAAAACCTGATGACGATTCTACGAATACGAAACGTCTTGTAGAGAAATCATTATAACCACGTCAAATCTCATCAAAGTTTGATATGAAAAAGTATTTTCATCATTTGTTCTGCCTCTAATGAAAACAGAAACAAAACCAAATAGATTTTCCAAAAATTCACTTTTTTCGATATTTAACCAAATTCGTATCTCATCCCGTTTCCGAGATGCATAATCATCTTGATCACACTATATACAGGGTGTCCGGAAATTACATAGAAAGATTTTATCTGCATATTCTGGAAAAATATAGTAAACAAAGTTAATATTAAAATGGCTCCAGAAATTGCTCCTTGAGGGGTTATAATCATCTGTAGAATTTCTTACTGATTATAAAATTCAAAGGAATAAAGTTAATGCCATGGTAAAGAGAGCTAAAATTGAAAATATCAATAGAAAATTTGGAGAATCTCAAGGTAATCCAAAGAAAAAGGGGGATACAATCAATTACTGTTTGAGAAATAAATCGAAAATTTCCGAGAAGGAAGATATTGAATCTTTAAAAATTAATGGCCAAATTATCAATAACAATCTAGAAATAACTGACGCAATGAACTCACACTTTTCAAGTATTGGTGAAAATACTGCTAATGAATTGAAACAATTCTACAATTATATGACTACTGACAATATTGCACCACGTTACAATGATTCAACAATACTTCTGATACACACTGATGAATATGAAATAATACATACAATTAGCACTCTTAAAAAAAATGTCCTGATCCAGAAGGTTTGATTACACGAGATATGATAGAATTGAAAGATATTTTGGCTAAACCACTAACAAAATTAATCAATGTATCTTTCACAACAGGTATTTTTCCAGATGAATTGAAAAATACCTCTTTACGGGCTATATATAAAAGTGGTGATGCTTAAAATCCAGTAAATTATAGGCAAATAGCATTATTAAGTATTTTCTTCAAAATTCTAGAAAAAATTCTCAAAAAAAGAATTGTAGATTTTATCAATAAAAAATATGGATTCGATTTGAACCAATTCGGATTTCAAGAAAACAGTGGTACACAATCAGCAGTGCTACAAGTAATCAATTCCATTCAGGACAGACTTGACAAAGGAAATTATGTAGTAGCGATTTTCATGGATCTAAAAAAGGCTTTTGATACAGTTACCACAATATATACTTCTGAAAAACCTTGCTTCAATGGGAATCAGAGGAATTGGACACGATCTCTTGAAATCATATCTTGAAAATAGAACTATTATAACTAAAATTAATAACTGTGAGTCTAAGATACTATATTTAAACAAAGGGGTTCCTCAAGGATCAGTGTTGGGTCCAATTCTTTATCTATTATACATTCAAAATATTGAAAGAATGAATTCGATAGGAAACTATACCATATAATATGCAGACGATACAGTGCTTCTATATGAGAATAAAAACCCAGTAGTTCTAGAACATATCATGAATGAGGACTTGAAAAAAATTGAGAAATGGCTTTATTCCAATCTTCTTTCTCTTAATTCTAATAAGACTCAATATATAATTTTTCGTCAAAGAAATAAACAAAATATTGATCTGAATAATAGAATAAAAAAGGAAAGTTTGAAACAAACTGCCCATACCAAATACCTTGGTATTTGGATTGATGATGAATTAATATGGGGAAAGCATATTGACATCCTGATAGGAAAAGTATCTCCCATTATTGGTGCTTTGAGAAGATGTCCTAAACTTAGTACATGTACATCAAATATTATTCTCTATTCACATATACTCAGTCGAATTAACTATCTCATAAATATTTGGGGATCTTGTTCCAAAAATAGTTTCAACAAAATTTCTGTTCTATATCATTTGTGAAGTTTTTACATATAAAAAAGCATTGAAAGTATTGTATCGTCTTCCATATGATACTCCAACGAATCAACTGTATAAGGAAACAAACACATTTTCTTTGGAAGAGCACTTTTTAATCAATACTCGAAAAATCTCCTATTTTATCATCAACAAAAAGCTTAAATCAAATTTTATATTAATCAGGAATTCCGAAATTCGTGATCATCACACTAGACAATATAACTTGTTTCATCTTGAAGCTGCAAATTCTAAACTTGGGCAAAAAAAGTTTACACATGAGGCGATTTCGAAATTCAATAAATTACCAGATGATATCAAAGAACAGCCCAAATATCATGCAATTCAAAAATAAAGTGAAGAAATATATTTATATGCAAAGGAATGATCAAAGCTGAAAGACTATGAATTTCCTTTTTTTTTCACTGTTTTTATTTTTCCCCTTCTTGTTCACTATAATATGACTGTTATTTTGAGATATCCTAATGATATGTAAGTTTTGTTCACTATTTGTAATTTCAATTATACAACAGTCGATAATACTTCATGAATGATCTCATACCAGGAATTACTGTCTGATCATTCATGTCATTCCTACTAGAAAATTAATTATACTTTATATATTATTTGTATAAAATGTTTCAATGAAGAAGAGAATGTAATGCAATGACTGAAATAAATAATAATAAATAAATCTGAAGGCAGGCCCGAGATGAGAGATTCTTGTCAATATTTCCGAAACCCTTCGTGATAAAATGATTTTTGCACACGTATCTAACTTTTCATGCCCAATCCAAAAATTTTAGAAATCCTCAGAAATTTTGATCAGGCTAGGAAGTCTGACCAGGAAATATGAAAATCTAAAAATGATGATATTTTCATATTTCTGGTCAAACTGCCAAAAATTGCATGAACTAAGAAGTTGGGAGAAACAGTGCCCCTAACTCCTGCTATTTTCGACGATCCTGATCAAAACTACCAAACTTTCAACTCAGCCATGGAAAGTCTGGTGAAATGCTCATTATCATGTGATCCTATCCCTATCCTCCCTAGGAATGCACGATGTTCTTTGAAACTTATAGGGATTCCCTTTCGTGCGCTCCAAGCGATAAAAGAAATCCTCATAGTTTGGCAGATTATACTGAAGGAAAATATCTGATTATTCGAACCTTGTGGACTGTACTTGATGCAGGTGATAACAGCTGGGTCTCCATCTTCATTTGAGGCAGGTGGAAGTACAGTAGCTCGTATGAGTTCATATGTTTCGTAATCCATCAAAGATATTCGGCCACTTCCATAGGCAATTACTATGTAATTCCTGATACAAAGAAAAACTGAATATTGCACTAATAATTTAGGGGAGCTGTTTCGAGGGGTCTGTTTGAGAAACGTCATCAACATTTTATAATTTTTTTGAAGCCTTCGACAACAGAATATCATATAAACTTCTTAAAACCTTCAACTCCCACAGGTTGCAATTTTATAGGACATTCGTTCATTACTTACTATACAGGTTATTAGGTTATATTATGATTCGGATAAAATCAGCAAACTTCTTCAAAAATTTGAAGAACATAGCTAGTTGGTTCAAGACGATTTGATCAAATCATCTCAACGTATTATTTTGAAACTCGATAATGAGTGTTATTCTGATACCTATGAAGTATTGGTTATTGAAGTGGTTTCAATGTCTTGGTTGGATCAGGTTAGATCAGAAATTGAATGTTGATGGGAGATATACATCAGAATAAGTATTCCAAATTGTAGTAATAGTTATTTGTTTAACTAGGCAGCAAAGTAGTAGATTGACCGCCGTGGCTGAATTCATAGCCGAGCGTAGCGAGGCTAGGAATCTAGCTAAGGCAGTCAATCTACTTTGCTGCCGAGTTGAACATTTAATTTTTTCTCCGATTGTTCATAATGATATAGGAGGATATTGTATTCGCAAATTATTACAATTCCCACAATCTCTTTATTTTTCCTGTAGTGTTCAATTAAAATAAAATTTGATAGAAATCACAGTTGTTGGAATGGTTGGTTGCTATGGAAATGTCCATGATAATTATAGTTTGACAATTCATGAAATTCGAGTAGTGCACAAGAATATCGGTATATTTAAATTATCATATAATGGACAGTGATAGCGACCTGGAAGCACTTACTCCTCCAGAAATAAGGGAGGTGGGAAAAAATATAGAGTTGAATTTGTTGCCGGAGAAGTCTCGGATGAAATATGAAGGAAATTATAAACGATTTATGGATTATTAATTTTGCTGACACATATCAATCAGCGAAGTAACCACTTTGCTGCCTAGGCAGGAAAAGTAATACTTTGCTGATTGATATGTGTCAGCAAAATTAATATTTGCTGCCAATCGGAGAAAAACACTTTTTTCCAGTATTGATCAATGATCTCTCAGATATATGTAAGTGAAATAGTAATATGAAGAACCATTTCAGTACCTCAAAGGTAAACTGTCCTAAGTTCAATTTTGTCAAAAATGAGAGTCCAATGTCTGATCTGAGGTAAACAATACTTCGAGGACTTGGTACTCCGTCCATCGTATTATGTCTATTTGGGGGACTTAATATTATGCGCCCTGTTTTTGATCACATTGTTTTTACAGTTTTTTTCTTGTTTGGAATGGTCATCATTTCTTTCCTTCAATCAGTATCGTTCACATCGTATTATTTGAGCAATCGAGTTTGGTGTGATTCCTTTGTGAACATGAGTTCGAAAATACAAATAATTCTACAACGTGCTGAAGAGATTAATTCTACTAATGAAGGCAATGATACTATTGGAAATGGTGAGTGACATGTTCTTTCTTCGATTTTATAGTGCCAAAATAAATCATGAGGATGTTCTTGCTGGGACAAGCCATGATTTGACTCAACTAGTTAATGTCGATTTATCAAATAAATGGCATGGAAACATCTGATTTCAAGAATTTTAAATCAATTATCGAAGGCCAATATGCTCCGTTCATCTAAAAAAAGGCTGAGAGTGGTAAAACTTCCAAAATATCCGAGTTAGTCGAAATTCAGGTGCGCAAGGAAGAAATGGGCAAATTATTTTACAAAACAAATTTCAGTGCAGAATTCGATGTTATCGACTTTTGTTGCACTTCACGTAACGCAAAATTTTCAGAAGAAATACCATTGATCTCGGCAACTCTAAAGCCAATTATTTCCATCCGTTTTACAAAAATCTTCCCCAGGCAGATGCAGTTGAAGATGATGAATGGAAATCTAAATGATTATCTTCACATCTCTTTTTTTTTTCACGATATCTTCAATTCCGTTGAATTTGTTATCGTTCATTCGTTTTGAATGAAGTTAAATTATTTTCGAGTTCTATGTTTCGATGAAATAGTACTAAGTCACATATTTTCACAAATTGCATGGTAAACTGTATTAAGTCCCAAAAAATCATTGGAACGCATTTTATTTTTTCAAAAAGTCCAAGTAGGTACTCATAGATATCAACATTTTGAACGTTTTAATGAAATTCTATGATGATCGGTTATTTAATTGAATGGATATGAATGAATATGTGACTTTTAGAACTTGTTTCGCTTCTCCTGGAAAACATATTTTATGTGACTTAGTACACTCTAGCTCTGAGGTACTGATTTGAATTTTTAATCTCGCGTAGGTAAATACTTAGCCTACAAAATGTGGTAGCTGAAGTTACTGTGAATTTATAAATGGGTTTACTTATTCGTTAGGCCATCATGAAAATACGTGAAGTGCTACAAGGTGCCTGATGATTTGATACTTTGTTTTTGTGGACCTCTAACACAGCGGAAGTTACGAAGTTGTTGAATGCATGTCGAATATAATGTGATATAGTTACGAGACTACGTTTTGCGGAATAGACTTTTTGCCGCTTCGCCCGAGGATGGAAGATGTTCGAAGATTTTGGCGAAGGTTTTCGAAAGGTTATGAAAACGCCAGTATAAATATCGGCAGGTAGCCCGGCGGTAGTAGTATTTCAAAGAAGGAAATAGGGTATTCAAAAAAAAAGATTGTGTTATAGTAAATATATAGTATCGTGTATTGTCGAATACTGTAGTATTTGTGCCTGATTAAATTGTTTTGTTTTGCTACAGTGTGTTTGTGAAAAGCCGAACAAGGAGTTTTATCGTAACAATATGTACTAAGTGATATAATAACGAAGGATCATCCTGCTCAGACCTGACAGAATGATTTCGATTATCTCGTAGGTAGGTGAAGCAATTGGAGAATGAGTTATTTCTTTCGTACCAGCAAACACAATTCCAAGAAAATGCACTTCTGATATTATAATCAGTTTGAATTTTGCTGAGGGATTATCCAAAATCAAATGACTACAACTCGATGCTTCGCCAATATACCCCAAATCCCAAATGTTTGAATTCTTGTAACTATTCAGAGTGAATTTCGCTTTCTGGTACCAAATACATGTTTCTTTCTCTTTCATATTCAACTAGGTTAGTACCTGTCTGGTGAATCTGAAGGGAAGGAAGTGACGAAACACCTTCTTAGGTTTTCTAACTGTCAACACTGTTAGAACATTTCTCATCAGTTATCACGTTGTTATTATTGCCGCACAGAAAATCGCTATTGAAGAGTGCCATTGTTCATCCTCAATATTATATACTGAAAAATAATTGAAGATCAGAAAGCGCCTCAGTACCAATCAAATGACAATTTCTTAATTTGTGAAATAGCTGAGCTTTTCTCATGGGGAAGGGTGTTCATGTTGGAATTTTTATGGCAAGTAGCTGTCAATACTTACAGTTCCCTATGCGTTGTTATTGCACATACAACATCATCAGCGATATAAAATATGGGAGTGCATGTATTATTGATGCAATCCACTGCATATACATTTCCATCAGTAGTTCCTGGAATCATAAGAGAATAAAGTCCATAATGAGAAAATAACGTAGGTATCTGATTGATAGATAGATATAGATTAATAGATACTTCAATTGTTCTAATATAGGTAATAAAAATACTAATATAATATTAAAAAAGTGAAAAAAAAGTTAAAACAAGTTTTGGACTAGGACTAACAGAAATGTTTGTAACTTCTGAATCCTTCAAGATCGAAATTTGAAATTTGGTGGGTAGCAACTATACCATATTGATCATTTATTGACGAAAAAAAATTATTCCATCACTTCCGGTCTAACCGGAAGTGAACCAAACTTTTGATTTTCAAATGGAACCCCCTGTATATTTTTTCATTTTCAGATTCAGGATATCATTTAACATAAACCAGTCGTTTTTCCGAATCATTTTGTGTGAAACAGGAAGAACAGCAAAATGAACTCCACATCAATCTTCATTATTTTCCGTAACATAGAAAGAGGGGCGATAAAAAATTAACTACAACAAACGCCCAAATTGACCCCCATTTTGTGCAATGCATTGCTGACACCTTCTAGCTACACTAAAAGATGCGTTGTGTAAAAATGCTTGGGGTATATTGCGGCAAGCCTTTAATATTCGATGCCTAAGGATTTCTATATTCTCTGGCTGAAATAGATAAACTTGATTCTTCAAGTAACCCCAAAGGAAGAAATCCATGACTATCAAATCTGGACTGTGAGCTGGCCACCGTATCGGTCCATTTGTTCCTATCCACCTTTCTCCAAAGTGTGTATTCAAATAAGTCACATTCACATTCTTGTTGGAAAATGACTTCATAACGATTGGCAAGGGGAAGTTGGTCCAGAAAATTTTCAATATAACCAGTTAGAAATTCAAAATACTTATACTGGTCTGAAAAACCGTCGATGAAAAACGGGCCTACCAACATATCTTCAAGAATTCCGCAACATCTGTGATTTCGTCTATTGAAAATGCCATTTCGCCCGAATGTGCATTCATCTGACCACATTATTTTTCCATAAAATGCAGGATCTTGATTGAACCTATTCAAAATAATATTGCAGAAATGTGTCCTACGTTCTCTGTCATTATCGTGCTCCAAGGCGTGAATTTTGCGGGGAACGTATGGCGTGTACTTATGTTTTTTCAAAATAGACAGAACTGTGCTTCGTGACGTACCGAAATCATTTGCAATCTAATTGTACATGTCCTGGGCGTTTCTTGTACACTGAGTAAAACATTCAATTCCAAATCTGCATCAAACTTTCGCTGTTGTTTCTTTGGTTTTTTGAAACTACCAAATTGACGTAGATTAGCTTCCCACCTGCCTTATTTCTGATGGCTAGGGTGATTTCTATATCGGATATCTGTTTCTATAAACACGAGCAACACCGTACGAATTTTTCAAACATTCAAAATAAACTTGTTACATATCGGTTAAGTCATTATTATTTATGTTTATAAAATAGGAAATATCATCACCAGTATTGAAACTTATTATTGGATGTTACTGTCACATTGGAATTGACTTACAAGTCTATACCTAGATCTTGATTAGTATTACCAATTAATGTGCAATGTTTAAAGATAAAAAGGAAAAAAACTCCTCTCGACATTTTTATCCGGAAAAACTACTGGGGTATGTAAAATGGTACCCTGAATCCTATAATGGAAAAATATACAGGGGGTTCCATTTGATAATCAAAAGTTGGGGTCACTTCCGGTTAGACCGGAAGGGATGAAATAATTTTGTTTTTGGCAAATAATGAACAATATGGTATAGTTGCTACCCATCAAATTTCAAATTTCAATCTCGAATGATTCAGAAGTTACAGCTCTAGCCGTTTTTTGTGCACACCTCTGTATATAAATAGATGAAATGTATGCAGTATAAAAAATATGACAGTATAAATCATTCAATTGGACATATTCGTCAAGACAGTAAGAAGCAGTGTTGCCAACAGCCAATTCTGAAAGTGGCTAGATGACTGATGGAAAATGGCTGAAGTGTGGCTAAAAATGAAAAAGCGCCGCTGGCGAGAAATTTTTTAGCTATTTTTTCGCTAATCTAGCCATTTTTTGTGATTTTTCTAGCAAAAACAAGAAATCTGACTCGATCTGACCATGGACTACGATTCTGACATTAACAATTCAAGTCTAGAGCTCAGATCTAGAGCTAGCCTCTATTGAGTCTAGTAGTATTGTCGTTGACGTATGACGTGATATGTTGACGTCATTAACAACAACTTCAATTTTTCTTCGGTTCATGCGCATTACAAAATTATGGAATGAAAAACGCACCCAATTTGTCAAAATAGCGCATAGTAGCACAGTACCTAAATTTGATTTAATCGTGAATATAATGAACTATCTATGGAAATATTATAATAATGAGAATATTTTCATGAAAATTCAGAATTCAAAATAGCTTAAAAAATGGCTGAATGGCTAGATGCAATTTTTAGTATCTAGATGAGTTTAAAAATGGCTAGAACTAGCCATTAAATGGCTGAGTTGGCAGCACTGGTGAAAAGCATGGTATAATAAATATTTTTTTTAGTGCACTTTAAAAATGTTGGTACCCTGCAATGATTTCAGGTTTGGAAGTTGCATGTTGAAGAAATAGCCTCCAAGATGAAGAGGAGATTTTCTATTCTGCATTCTTTTAATTTGATGAAGACTTGTAGGGAATTCATGAGATTCACTGTTTCTATTTAGCTTTTACATATTATTGGGCGTGTATAGCAATAATTTGTACAAGTGAATTGAAGTGTGTTAAAATGCCGCTTCGAATGAATGTGTCTTTACAGACTCTCTATGGTCTAGGTCGAACGAAACCCTTATGAATCTCTTTTGCGAAAAGAATACCTACCCTAGAAGCTTCTGTGGCCCTGCCCCATACAATTATGTTATTGCTCAATGTAGAATATACTAGAGCATAGTACATGTTTATTAGATTATCTTTATGGAAGTTTGACTTCAAGGTGTTGAAAGCATAATACAACTTGTTCAATGTTTCACAGATAGTGTCAACTTGACTGTTGAAAGATTCGTCATAGAAAATAACCGTACGCCACCTATCGGAGTTTTTGAAAGCTGTCAAACCCGTCTGTTTACTTTGTATACATTGGTTCATATTTGTTATTTGTATCCGCAATATCTAGTTTTGAAATCGGAGTACAATACCTATCGTAATCATGTGAATAAATTAATAAAAATAACAAAGAATTCCTATTATGAAAATAGAATATGAGAAAACAAACATAATATTAAAAACACCTGGCAACTAATCAAACAGTTGAATGGTCGCGATAAAATTCCAAATGATATACAAAAAATTGAGATAGTTGAGGACACACAAAAAATATATTTTTCTAACAAACGGGACATAGCGAACAAAATGAATGAGTTTTTCGTCGAAAATATAAAAAAACTTGTCGATTCAGTACCGAACGTAGATTCCTTAGATGATGTGACTGAGATAAAAAATAGAAACCATCAGTCTTCCTATGCCATGCACTTCGTTAGTGAAACAGACGTGGCTGAACAAATAAATAAACTAGATATCAATAAATCGGCAGGATGTGATAATATCAAACCTAGATTCCTCAAGGAAGTTGTCGATGATATCAAGGATATTCTATCAAAACTATTCAACCTCTCAATACTCGAAGGAATTTTCCCTGATATCCTTAAAAAAAGCATCATCATTCCTGTCCACAAAGGGGGTAAAAAAACCGATCTGAACAACTACCGACCTATTGCATTACTTTCTATTATATCAAAATTATTTGAGAGACTGGTCACAGAAAACCTGAACAAGTACCTGAAAAAAAAACAGTATTTTATCTAGAAATCAATACGGCTTTCGAGAGGGTAAAGGAACAGAGTTAGCTTTATTGAATTTCACTACTGAAATACAGCAGGGGATAGAAAAAAATGAATTCACCACGGGAGTTTTCATCGATATCACTAAGGCTTTTGATACTATCTCCCATACAATTCTGTTGAAAAAAGTGAGTAACTTAGGCATAAGAGGAATATGTAATAAGTGGTTCAGTAGTTATTTGAGAGGCAGGACACAATTAGTCAAAGTAGGAAATGAGGTCAGTGACATCAGGGAAACCTCCAGTGGAGTACCGCAGGGGTCGGTCTTGGGACCAATTCTATTTCTGATATACATAAACGATCTCTGCGATATGCCACTGAAGGGAAAAATATATACATTCGCGGATGATACTGCATTGCTGTACTCTCAAAAAGATAAAAATGCTACGTACGCAAATGTATTGCATGATCTAAAAACACTAAAAACATGGTTTAACATGAATAAGATGCTTGTAAATGAAAAAAAGAGTAAATATATTAATTTTGGTACAAGAAAAATTTTTTCATTTGGAAGTGACTGCTCTGACTGTAAATGTGCGGAAATCGAACAAGTTGATTGTATCAAGTACCTAGGCTTGATTATTGATGAAAATATGAATTGGAAAAACCATATACAAGAAACTGCATCGAAACTGAGGAAACTTATCCCCTCATTTTACAATATGCTATTTCTTCCGTCCCATGTTCTTCGCATGTTCTATCATACAATGGTCCACTCAGTCATCATGTACGGGATATCTATCTGGGGTACTACATATGAAAGTAACATCAGAAGTATAACCACCCTACAAAAAACTTTTGTGCGACTTACTGCCAAGGTGCGAAACAGAAGAGAACCCTCTGAACCACTCTTTAAGGCCCTCAAGATAGGTAACATTAGACAAACCTGTTGCATAAATATTTGTAAAGCTCTGAAAAGGTATGAATACTCACTACATATAGACTTATCCACAAAAACCTCCGTCCGAGGAAAGACCTTGTTAACCGTACCATCCGCAACAAAAACATCAACACAAAAATCATTCTATTGTCTTGCGCCCCGAATCATGAACAGTGTCCCAGAAAGTATTTTTCTGAATTGTACCATGTCATTCAGCCGATATTCAACGAAAATATCCGAATATTTTCTAGAAACCGATATACAACATCTGTTTACAATAAATGTTTGACAGAAATACTCTCTGAGGAGTTCAATAAACTAAGCTAAAATATCTTTTTATCTCCTCTGATGAAGGCATCTCTGTATTTTTTTTTCTGATTATTATTCTTTTTTATTTCGAATCTTTTTGCCCTTTTTTTATATTCTTTATTTTTTTTCTTTTACAAACCCTGAAACAAGTATTAATTTACTTATTGGGGGTTGGCATTGTGAAAATGATGTGCAAAGACAACATTGAGAATTGTCTTCTTTCTCTCTCTCTCCAGACACAGACATTCGGTCTTCTGGCTAGGGAAGTAGTAGTAATAAGTGAAAAACCAAATGTAATAATATTTGAAGCGTTGCCAATAAACCTATCTATCTATCTATCTACTTTTGTACTCATCGGTCACATTCATCAAAACGAACTGCTCAGATGGAGGGGCGACCTGTAATTTTCTATCGCGAATATAGTTTATGGTCTACATCCAAGCCATTCCAAGCCTAGACATTTTGTTTGTAATGATGCTGAGATCTCCGTGTCACAAATATCGAAATTAAAATTTCCTGTTGAATTAATATGGCTAGTAATCTCGATCAGCACTGTCTTATTCATGTTAGTAATGAGATGGTTGGCTCTACACCAACAATTGAAATTTTCTGTGAAAATCTTGATATTAATTGTGATTTAATTCTGTCCTATTTTCAGCGTAACAACAATTGTGGTATCATCCGCATAGATGAAAGTACGTCCTTGATCATCTTGGATAGTGTCCACATGACTAGATAGATAGGTAGGTAGGGAGATAATATTTTGATCCCAGTAAACCAGTGTGGGTTGCAGGGAAGTTATTGTAGGGAATTTCATTTTGGAAATGCGAATTTGCAAAATTGATACATAAAAAGGCGCATTCATTGGCGAGCGCTTCAGGTTCACAACAGCATACATCACCAACAGGTTGTAAGGATATCACAATGTAGATGCATTCTAGATACCATATAGCACACGCAACTTATTGCTGTGGCATCAACTTGAAACTCAAATCGAAGCACTATTTAAGCTAATTGACTTCAGTTTCATTCGTTTCGTTAAATGTTGATCATGATCTGTTGATAAACATTATACATGGTTCGGTAATGAAACGGGACGATTTGGGGTCGCGCTGCCAAGTGGTGGGGATGAGAGTCACCGGCCTGTCAGAACCCGCATGGCTTACAATTTATCCACAATGAATTATTTGATGAGTGCAACGCGACTACCCAGTTGAAGTCTTCTATCATATAATTTAGTCCCAAAACAGCTCGAACCCCTGGAGATATCGAACGTGTTCGACAAGCGATATCAAGAGGCCTTCGCAAATCCCTGGGCGTATTGTTTGTCTGAACAGGAATACCAGTTGGCCCCCTCGGTCTCTTGACATTACTATCTGCGATTCCTTCTTGTGGGGATACCTATAGAAACGAAGGTGTTTAAAACTGGTTCACCTTCGTTTTAAGGTATCCTCACGAAAATAAATCGCAGAGACAGTGAAGACCCAGTGGACCAACTGATTTTCCTGTTTCGTGATATGATACGCTCTGGGATCGTTCGATATTCTCAGCCACGTTACATGAAATAAAAACAGGGCCTACTTTGAGTTGAGTTTGAGAGGTCGAAATTTAAAATTCATTCGAACGATTTTGTTCCATATTTTTTCATTGAACTGGTCAAAGTGTGCCATATACATTGAAGAGCAGAGTTCTTATAGCATTTTGTCTGACCTTCCTGAATCTGATGGAATTTATCGATAAAAGCGGTCACAAAGTGAACTTTCTTGACATTACAATGAAACATGGAATTTTCCAAAGTCTGGACCTGGATAATTTTTTTCATAATAATATGTTAACTTGAAAAGTTTCAGTAGAGATACGTCGCTGCCAAATTTCAGCAGATTACGATGAATCATTTTTGTAATATCGGCCATCAAAGTTATATAGCAATTTCACATAATACCCTGTATTTTCTATTATGGAGGGTCAAAGAATGTTTTCATATACAGGCTGATTCACGGTGGATGGCACATTAGACGTTTCTGGTGAACCAGACAACGGATCATTTTGAAAATTCAATGGAGGGCATATTCGGACATTCTCTAGCCAACTAAAATATTTTCGACAATGCGGTGTTGCCGCTTCTATTAGAAAGCAGTAGCAACTTTGATTTTTCAAATGAAACACTCTGTATTTTATTGAATTTTTTGATTCTCCCTGAAGGGCAGATTTTATCGATGTATCACACTTGGGGTCTAGCGGAAATGATTACAGAGATATAGGGTGTGAAAAATCGACATTTTTCAACTTTAGGAATTTTTTTTGTCGAAACTATTCATTGCAGAATTCAGAATCTTGATCACCCGGTATATGTCCCAATTAAATATCAGTAGATAGTTAATCAAAAGTTGAGATAGGGACATGTAAGCCGTTTTGACCAATAATGAATAGTTTCGACAAAAAAAATTCCTAAAGTTGAAAAATGTCGATTTTTCACACCCTATATCTCTGTAATCATTTCTGCTAGATCCCAAGTGTGATACATCGATGAAATCAGCTCTCCAGGGAAAATCTAAAAATGCAATAAAATACAGAGTGTTCCATTTGAAAAATCAAAGTTGCTACTGCTTTCTAATAGAAGCGGCAACACCGCATTGTCGAAAATATTTCAGTTGGCTAGAGAATGTCCGAATATGCCTTCCATTGAATTTTCAAAATGATCCGTTGTCTGGTTCACCAGAAACGTCTAATGTGCCATCCACCGTGAATCAGCCTGTATATACATCAACTCATCTTGATTTCCCCTATTAACCATTCGGCTATGTGAGTCTTCTCATGAAACACCCTGCCTATATATACAGTCATTCATCTACAAAATTCATTTGATGTTTATAGAGAGCCAAAAGAGGCATCGATCTGGAATTTCAGGTACAGCCATAGCGTGATATTTTTGATTTGCTGTCATTTCCGGTTGAACCGGGAGCAAATGGGTTCAGCCTTCCTAGGTACGCACGTTATTCTACGAACTTATTAGAGATCTTCTTTCGTGGAGATGAGAAATTCCTAATAGACGCATACGTCGTGTCTTACCAACGACAAAATCTGGAACTATAAATGGAGCCATTTTCAAAGTCGCATCCTTAGGTAAATCCTTTCGAAACAACATTTCCATTTCTTCAATCATATCTACCAACTCACAGGGCAATCCTCGATCATCGGTTTTTGCTAAAATCGAATGAAAATTTATGAAGTACGTGCCTCATGATGAACAATTCACCATGAGGATGATATAGCTGCAAGAAAAAATGGACCAGTACGACTATTTAAAGCTACAATCTATCAGTTATACCGAAAATTAATGTCTGGATACGTATCGGCAACGTTTCAGGGATGAAGACGAAAAAAACTCAGATCTATATAAGGTGTTTCATTGTACCTAATGATGAAAACCAAAGGTAGCTTCATCTCAGTGGAATATGAAAAAAAATCATATGAACACGATTGTGAATATATATACTTCGTTCTCGATATTCATCACGTTGTGAATATACGGGAAGTCGCATCCCTATACGAGACAGTCATGACGAGTAGTATTGGTTTTTGATAGGTCAGATCATGTGAGAATTGTGAGGTTCACGAAGTTGTCATGTTAGTTCATACAAACAATTATTAGTTATTGAGTAGAGCCGGCTGCAGATCTCGACCGTCATCTGATAACGAAATGATGTATGTCCCAAAGACATGTAAAAACGTTGTATTTTATCGAACAGTTATTAATATGTTGTACAGACATCTACAAAACCATGTTCAAAAGTCCATGATTTATGTCTTGTACTATGCTCTAACCTCGGCTCTAACGTCCGTATGTATAACGATACGATAGAAAGGCGCACTTTTGCGAAGTCACATCGACGTTATAATGTAGTCGTAGAAGAGTTGTATTGAAATATTATTACTACGTCGCTGATGTGTAGTCATTTGTTGTCATCATATCATTATGCATCAGGTCATGAGCTGAATATCTAATATATTATACAATACGTTTATCATATCAAAAGTTAAATAACTGGGATAAAGGAGTCGCAGTAATGTAGTCGCTCTGACCAATTTAATAGTCACGTTAACCAAAGTTGTACTAACTATGTCACGACATTATAACAACTGTTATCTTCGTGTGATTGCAAATAGAGGTTATGTTGGTATATTTTTGTTCTAAACTGATGTTATCTTGAAACTGACTTTTATTTATGAATTGTCCAACAGTATGATGGCTTCTATATTTGTAAGAATGTTATTGTGAACCAATGCCAAATTCTTCAATTTTTCTATGGAGTTAAAATATATTTCCAAGTATTCTACACCAGCTTTGCCATCACCTCTATATCTTCTTCAGAATCACTCCTTATGACGATATCTAGATTATCAGTGATTAGTCGATACTGCCCAGTTTGTATAATTTGGAAACATTTACGATTGATGTGTCATTTCACAAAATTTTCAAATTCTGTCACGTTCAGTGCTGTCATGTCAAGAAAATATCAGTTTGAATTCGAATCCGAAATTTCGAATTTTTGTTGAAATTGGAACATGGAAAGGAGAGCCGGGCGTAAATGCTGTCAAATAATGACGTGTCATAAAAAACGTGAATTTTGTGTTGAGATAGTGTCAAAGACTACTTTGTGAATCAGTTTGTAGAGAAACAAATTTTTCAACTTACTCCAACATTCAGTATTTAGGAAACGAAGCATTTTCGCACATATGAATACTCATAGGAACTGTTTCTACTTGAAATTCGGAACAATCAACATACTATCATATGTTGTTATATAGACACTTACGCATGAAATATTTATTTCCATCTTGATATGTAAATTTTGGACCCAAGTTGAAAGTGATTGATTTAACTGGGCCTAATTTGAAATCACACAACCAGTAAAGGAGCCTGACTCGTTTGTCAAAGAATAAAATGTAGCCCCTCTGATCTCCTATCACTAAATGTCTGAAAACAAATAAAAATCTCAAGCAGGATTTGGAGAAATGTTTGATAAACCTTTCGTTATGTTCTGCAAATTCGCCATCAAAATCCTATAAAACATTTATGTACATAATCTTTTCGATTATCAACACAGCTATTTCAATCGATCAAACACGTGAACATATTTTGGAATGACTGAAATAATCATACGTGATACCGCAAGTGATACTATGTTGACGGATTATCAGCGAGAAGTTTTGGAAGGCCATAATCAATCGACGGATATTTCGAGGATAATTAAACTGGTCAACATTGATAACGTCGTGGTCCGAAATACAGCCTGAATTCAAAGTTGAATAACTCACGAATGTTTGTATTTCCAGAATAATCCAGTCATTTGGTGACAAAAAGCACTGGATTCAGAAAAAAAAATGCTAAAGAATTTTTCTCGACAGATTTATATGGTTTTTGTGGTGCTGAATCTGACTAGATGGCTTCACCACGAAATAAATCATGGAAATTCGGGAGTTATTTTGGTGTTTTGATTATAATTCCGAAACGATGTGATTTTTTTTCGTAAAATTTGTATATCGCTACTTCAAAGTTGGGAACCAACTCCCCAGAAGTCGAAACTTGTGCGGGGTTAGGAAGAGCGAGACCTACAGCCGAGGGGTAAGTACATGGGGCAATCCGGTGTACAACTTAGAGGTATTGCGGGGCAATGCGAGGCAGTGTGGAGCATTGCGGGGCATTGCGAGGCATTGTTGGGCACTGCAGGGTGTCGATGGGCATTGCAAGGTATTGTGAGGCATTGTTAGGCAATGCGGGGTATCGAAATAGCACTGAAAGGGCAATGTGGACCAATATTTGGGCTTAATTTGTTGCGCGCGCATCGGTTTCTGTTCGAGGTCACTATATTCAGTTCTATGGTTCAAGGTGATGCCTCCGCCTACATTTTGATTGCGCCATTCAAGCGTTTCGCATCGCGTCATGCTATCATCAACTCCAGTTACAGCTAGCTTTGGATTGGATTGGAATTGGATTCAACCGACTATTCGAGTAAAAACTACGATATAGATGAGAAAAGTCCATATGTGGAAGTCACTTTGGAAAATTATAATATGATTATAATAAAAAAAATCATCATTATGCTGGCTTCTGAATGAGGGGTAGGGACGGATCAGTATATAACGATCGCATACAGCGTTTCAATTCTATATCCTAGATATGTTCAAAAAAGAAAGTCAAAAGTACCTGCTGACAATTCAAAAACTAAGAAAAAGAAAACTGAATGTATCGGAGATTCTTCAGAAGAAGAAAATGAACCAGATATCGTTTCAGACGATTCCACAGATATGGAGTCATTCTACTCTTTGGGAGAAGATTCAGAGGAAGATAGGATGATGAAAAAACTTGACGTTTTCGATACTGAAATAGATAAATAGATAATTTCTATGCAGTGGTATTTGATAAAAAACTGGTATCTGGGACTGGTAATGAAAAAGAACCAAGACAGATTCGGAAATATATACCAAAAGAATGTATTTTTCACGGACCACTTGTACCTGGGGAAAATTCTCCGTTTCTCCTGAAAAGAGAGGATAAAGTGAACATTTCCAATCTTTATTTGGAGTCGAAAAAAATGTATATCCAGAGTGATATGCGTCAACAAAATATATATTCAGGTTCAAGCTGTTTTTGGTTCAAGAAAATCTCAACTTTGTTCTAATTTCAAGAAAGAATTCAGAGAGAGTTTTTTTAATAACTAAGTATAAACTTAAACTTTTGGTCGAGATTCTAGTACTGTTACCTATAATATCTGGACTTATATGCCTAGTGTTCCTGTTACCAAACTATGATCTCTGAATTAATGTGATACTGTCTGAAGAAGTACCTTTAGGAATAACTACTTGGTTATCAAGTATAGGAGAAAAAAAATGTTCGTCTTGAGTCTTAAGTTGTTTTTGCGAAAAGGCGTGTGTTTCTATGTTTGTTTCATGTTCGACTGCTTGTTATGTGTGATTTCTTAATAAAATATGTATAATTATTCATTATTCCTCGTCCCATCAGATTATTGATTCACTAAGACATTAAAATGAATTTGAACTATGTAACAGACATAGGTCAGTTTTCTGTCTCTCTTCAACACATGGAATGAAAAGAGATAGATATAAAGTGCAGTAGGGGCATTGTTGGGCATTGCGGGGCATTGTTGGGCATTGTGGGGGCAATGTTGGTCATTGGAGGGCAATGTTGGGCAATGCGGGGTATTGTTGACTGAAAAATGGGCATTGCAGGGTAATTTCGTTGAATTGAGGCATTCATTACCCCTTGGTGTACAAAAAATGGCTAAGTACTTACCCCTCGCCTACAGCTTATAGTGGAATCCGAACCACTTCTAGGGCTATCTAGCGAATTTCAGCGCATAGACAAACTCGGCCACGGAGCCCATTTATAAAAATACATTTCACAAAAATGAAAGCCTATAAAATTTACTGTGAAACAATAAGATCAAAATCTACTCGATATCTTGTTTGATTCAGCCGCTAGAGCGCCCTGAAAATTGACAATTGTTTTAAACTTGTCCAAAATATTCGAATTCCAGATTTTGAATTTGCATACTTCGCCAGGCTAGTATTTCCGCCTAGTGTGACCACCAACAATTGGTGGACGATGACCATGGAGTATCCTGACGGTAAGGTGAAAACCACGATGCAATTTTACACCCATTCAATTATCACCCTGTAACGATGTTATCTGAAATTACAGAAGTTTCATATTGCCACAACAAACTATCAAGAGATCAGGCTAATCATCGCTGAAAACCGATTTCAAGTTGGTAGGGAAATTCGTGAGTTATTCTACTTTGAATACAGGCTATATTTTGGACCACGACGTTATCAATGTTGACCAGTTTAGTATCACGAGTAGTATTCGTATGACTATTTCATGATTGAATCATACAATAAATGATAATACAGGAATCCGTGCCATCAAAATTGAATAGGTAGGTATACCTACTTATTATAATTGACGTTATAAAAGTCAAGAGTTGTATCGGTGAAAAACGAGGTTGGTTGGTTACGTGTGGGTAAATTCGGCTTCTGTATTGGTAAAGCAAGTCCGATTATATTTAGTAAACAAAAAATACCGCTGTAATACTGAAGAAATTGGTCGATTCTGATTGGTTCTCGTGAACAAGAGTGGATTAGTCATAAGAATATACGTAGAGCTATGGTCAAGCTCACAAAAAGTTATCAGGCTGACCTACATAGTCATATCAGCGGAGAGATCTCTTCGCTGATATATCGAATCGATAATCAAATGGTTTATTGAAGACTATAGTGAAACATGAAGGTTCTTAGGTTTACAGAATTTTCGATGAAAACTCGACGTTCAAAAATGAATCTAATGAAACTTTGAGAAATATTGACTGAAGAAATAATAAAAACTGTATAGTTTGTCAATTTTGTACAAGATACAAAACACCGTGGATAATCGATCTAGAAAAACAATTATTTCCGCGACATTTATTCGTTGAATCAAAGTTTCAACAGCCATTAAACTTTGAACTGAAGTGCTCAAAGAATTAAGTGGACCACTCGAATTTTCGACGTTTTTCAAAATGCGATCACTTTTTTGCAAATCAACCGATTTTCAATCGGAATGCAGTGTTCAAAAGTTGCGTCCTTCATGTTTGAGATTCATTGTTCAAAACTTTTCGAAGTTTTCCAGTTATGACATACCAAGTGGTCAAAAAAACTGTTACATAATCGGAAAAGTTTAGGAGCTCTCGTATTCCCCAGGAAATTTTTCATCCTTCTGCCAATCAACTTTCTCGAATCTTCAAGTTAATATCTCGAAATGGTTTTGGAATTTTCGACCTTCCTTATACAGGATGTGAGATAGGAAAATAGCAACTCAAATTCTTTCTACCTGACTCCCGTCGATTGCCAAGAGATATCTGAAATAATTAATACAGTTTGCTCCAAAAACTCGAGTGGAATAGATGAAGTACCATGTCGAATATTGAAGCATGTATTGAATGAAATAGTCGAGGTGTTAACATTTCTTGTCAACATATCTTTTAAATCAGGTATATTTCCGCAGCAACTCAAATCTGCTCTAGTTATCCCAGTTTATAAAAAGGGTTGTCAGTCGAATATGTCTAATTACAGGCCGATTGCCTTATTATCGGTCTTTTCAAAAATATTTGAAAAAGCCTTTCAAGTGAGGCTTCTGAGATATCTAAATAAATACAAGCTATTAACCAATAGACAATTCGGCTTCACAAAAAATCTATCTACACAAGAAGCATTGATGTCGTTATATGAACAGCTCTTAAACAATTTTGACAATAAATTGAAAACTTCGACTATGTTTTTTGACTTCCAAAAGGCATTTGATGTTGTCAACCACTCACTACTATTGAATAAATTAGAATTGTATGGAATAAGAGGACCTGCATTAACCTGGGTCAGTTCATACCTCTCACAACGAAGCCAGCAGGTCTGTGTAAAGAAAAATGGGACTACAACAGTGTCGAAGCCATTGAATGTGTCAAGTGGTGTTCCTCAAGGTAGCACCCTAGGACCAACTTTTTTTATCATAATGATCAATGATATCTTCCTGAACGTTCAAGATGGACTCCTGACACTGTATGCTGATGACACATCAGTGGTCTTAAACAGCAAAAATTATGAAGACCTTGCTGAAAAGTCAACCAACTGTATCAGTAACATGAAAAGGTGGTGTGACACTAACGGACTGATATTGAATCTATCTAAAACAAACTTTGTTTTATTCACACCTATAACAACAAAATCTGATATCTGCTTATTGGTGAGGCCTGGTAATGAAAATAATGTATCCATCAAACAAAGTAATTCAGTCAAATTCTTGGGTTTATATGTGGATGAAAATCTTTCTTGGGAGACCCACACACGAAATTTGGTAAAATCATTGTCATCAAAGAATTTTGCAATTTTTCAACTAAGAAAAGTAACAAATACCGAAGCTATAAT